ATAATTCACTTTTTCTAGTATGATTCTTAGTTTTATTTGCGTCCTACCTACCAAACCTTAACGCGATCATCGCTTAAAAACCGATTTTGTTAAGTTAATATATCACCCTAACGTGGGCTCGAATCCACAACCTCACGACTACTATCCCGACGCCCTAACCACTAGCCTATCGCGCAATTCGTAAAACCTCTACTTTAAATCGTCCATATTAATTCTATCTCGATTTTTTTCGATTTGAACGATTTATTATTTAGTGGATAGAGATATTAAGTGATTCAACTATAGTTTAATCGGTAAATTAATTCAATAATGAATAACAATAATAATTATTATTAATTACAATAATAATTGTAACAATGATGATTAATGTTGAATGATGATCCTTCTTCTTTTCGTAATAATTAGCGAGTAACATGTGACTTTTGTACCCACAATATCACCATTTTTTTACGATTACACCCTTAAAATTTTACCCTCAAGATTCCACCCTTACCATTCAACCCTCACAATGTCGACCTTATGATTTGTTCGCCCCTTTCCATTATTGCGATTTAACCCTTACAATTTTACTCTTCAGATATTATCCTTACACTTCCACCCCTATGATTCCATTCTGATCATCTTATCCTTCCGACTTAACCCTTACAATTTTACTCTTCAGATATTATCCTTACACTTCCACCCCTATGATTCCATTCTGATCATCTTATCCTTCCGACTTAACCCTTACAATTTTACTCTTCAGATATTATCCTTACACTTCCACCCCTATGATTCCATTCTGATCATCTTATCCTTCCGACTTAACCCTTACAATTTTACTCTTCAGATATTATCCTTACACTTCCACCCCTATGATTCCATTCTGATCATCTTATCCTTCCGACTTAACCCTTACAATTACAGCAATGGCTGGAGCCCAATGACCAAGCTCCGGGCCACCGCTGGCTGGGGCTTGGTTATCGAACTCCGGCATGCCAATGTTCGGCCAAGGTTGGGCCAGATCTGTCAACCAAGGCTCGGTTACTTTAATCGATTAATCGAAAGTGGCATCCGCCATTCCCCATGTGAAGAAGACATGACATCGAATCAGAATGTCGATAAAAACATCAATAATAAAAACATCGATAAACCACAGAGTTTCGATATATCAAACATGGAATCTGAATCGTTGTAACCACAAATGCCAAATGTGGTCAATCCACATGTACGACACTCGATTCACGCGTATTCATGTGGCCTCATAACCTGCGTACACAAACGTTGTGTCGTTTCAAAATATGAAAATAAATGAAAAACGAGAGAAATTTTTGGAAAAAAAGATGAATGAATGTCTGCTTCCTTTGAAAATATAAACATTACAGCCAAAATTTTTACCCAACAAGGTAAGTGGGGTTGAGTAAAATCATTGAATTCAATTTAACGAATAATTCTGCCATGGAGTGCATCGAACATTTTTTGGGAGTCATCGTTGCATTTGTTTATAATAATTAACGTCAGCAAGATTATGAAATTTCCTTTATTTCTTTCAACAGAATTAATGAAATTATTTTCGAATAAATGATCATCTTTATAACCTTGCTTTCAATTATATGAAACATACAATAGATTATGAAACTCGATGAATGAGGCTTTCTACACGGAGAAATTTGTTAGAGAAAAATTACCAAACATGTTGAGTAATTTTGGAGCAAACTCGATTTTCAGTACATTTCCATCCTATGTCGGGAGAAAAAGTGCGAGACGAATAATGAATTGTTCACTGTTGGCCGGGGAAAATTCTCTTCTTCTATTTTTTCATGTCGTAGTCCTATCATCAATTGAAATGTCATCAAAATTTTATGTATTATTTCCTTCTATCAAATAATTTTACATTCAGACCCACTCAAGACTCGAATTCATTTTCAGTCCAGGTTTAATCAAGGTTCAATCAAGATTTAATTAGTGTATGGCCGGGATTTAATCAGGGTTAATTCAGGATGTAGCCAGCGCTTAACCCAGGTTCTATCAGAAGTTAATAGACGTAATAGACTGGTACCTGAGTTTACTCATGACGGTATTATGTAACTTGATAAGCAATGATGCAGTTCTCACTATTACTCAACTTGATTTTGAAGACATTGACATACACTTTTGAAACCCTGATTTAATTGATATCCCTGATGATTCTTTCAGTAATCATGAAAAAACTGATTTTCTCCTTTAAGTCGCATAAACAATCTGCTGTGACTCAACAATGAATTGTGCGGCCCCATCATATTCTGATAGAATGATGAGAGTAATGTTATCAATTTTTTGAGCCATAACCAATTCCATTCTGATGACAATTTTTTGAGTGATCGTTAAAAAATACATTTTTTGAAAAATATAAATTTTTTGGAATCTGTATGAAAGATTAAATTTTAATTGGTGTCAATGAATAGAGCTCATTAAAGTCTATAACTATGAAAAAACTTATGAAATGCGATTCGTCCCTTATAAGAAAATTTCGAGGAAAAAAATGAAAAAAGAGAACCACATTCATACATATATACACACATTCATACAGACACCATCTAAAAATCACATTATTTAGTTACCCTAACACAAAAAATTGGAAACTTAAATTTCAGCGATTGCAAAACTTCCGTTCGGAAGGAAAAATACCCTACCGGTGTGGGAAATTTTACTGTACAGGAGGATAGTTTTTGCACCCATACTTGTTTTTTTTACTGAATGAAGTATAAAATATCCTCCATAACCAGGTATTTTTTCATCGAATTACATTTCGCTCCACGATTACCATTCGTACAGTAAACTTCGCCACGATTTTCATGGTAATTTTTATTCAACTTTTCTCTCCGTGTATTATGAATCATATTTTTTTAATTGAATCAATCATCCAGTAAACTTGGAAAAAATACTTGGCATGGGGAAAGAATAAATAGCCAAAATTTTTGACCTAGGATCCTCAAATAGTTATATGTCCTCAAATAGTTGTATAGTTATATGTTTGAGATGACTCATCATTTGGTTTGCTTCACTTTGGCACTGGTGGAGATTCAATTTTTTTTTTATGAGGAAGATTTCAAATAGAATCTTGGAATTTCAAAAAGAAAAATTGAAATATCTACATGAAACTCCAAAATATTTTTATCCTAGAATTCAGAAATTTTCAGAAACAACTGAATTGAATATTTATAGTTGAACGAGGAAAACATAATAGAGCCTGTAAAAAAACAATAATCGAAAGGTGGAGAAATTCAACTAAAACTAGAGGGAAAAATTTAATTAATCGGATGAAGAAAGTAAAAAAAATGGAAGAAAAAAAAATGCCTCAAAAGAACTTTAACAAACATTCAGGGACGGAAAAATTCAAGGAGACAAAAATGAATAATTTCTTTAATTATTACACGATATGACCAATAAATGAAAACTCATCGAATATTATTAAAAATGAGGTATTCACAGGATTCTATAATTTTTTAAAAGAATCACGATCGGTAAGTGGGGAAATGCCTGCTTAAATCGATCAGATGAAACGACACTATTTTTCAATCAAAACAAGCGTGAGTGATAAAAATCAAACAAAAATGGTAATAAATGAGAATTAATTGAAGTATAAAAATTGTAAGCCATTCATAAAATCAAGTGACACCTGGCTTCTACTTTTGCTCTGTACTTTTCTTATTTCCAATTGCTAAATCTGAGTTTGTATTCATTCGATACTCTGATGATATCAACGAACAATATCAAATAAGAGCATTATTACACATGTAAAGCATTCCATGGTAAATATTTCAAGTCATTTAATAGACTGAAAACAGAATGAGCGCATGAAAGATGATCATGAATTTTTCAATTTCATTATATTTAGCGAAAAGTCCTTCAGGTGTAATCTCAGCATCAGACAAAACTATAAATTAAGATGCAAATCGAATGAAAATGAAACTATTAAAAGTCATGGTATGACTTAACAAAAATGGAATTGTCATTCAAATTCGTTAAATTCTCCATTACATAAACAAGACAGAAGATCAACGGCCCGGCCGCTTGCGGCCGGGTCGGCGCTAGTTAATAAAAATTTTGATTAAGGAACACAATTAAAAATGTATCTTCTCCCGCATTTTTCATAATTAAGGAGTGAAAATTTCAGATCATATTCAAAAAACAATTTCGAAAAAAATACTTTGGGGATTTTTATTAAGTTGATTATTCGATGTAAAAAGTTCGATTGGCCACTTTTGCGTGGCAGGAGACAATTATGACCTAAAAAATCCGATTCCTGAGGAAAAATCGCGTGGAAAATAGTATTTTCAAGTTTTATTGTCAAAAAACGAAAAAAAAATTCTCCCGAGGTGAACCTCCCCTTAAGTGGTACAAGAAAAAAGCTATTACATTATTACGGAAATTTTCCAATGAAATTCGCACGGAATTCTCCCTACTTTATCATGTCCTTGACATTCTGAAAATTCTATAAAATTCTTAATATTTGAGGAGATGGAGTTTTCACTTTTCATAAAGATTTCCCTCTTGCGTGTCTTCCCTCGGTTGACATTTATACGAATTTTTTTCCGATCAATTTATGTATCGACTCGGACTCTGTCGAGAAGCAAAAGGAGAAGAAACAAGCCATTCTTATTAAGAAAATCTGAAAAAGGTGTGGACGCGATATCGCTTGCTATATTCAAAACCCACGCATCAATGACATCATCGACCCGTTCATCTCCACTTAATATATTTCTAATCTAGTCAAAATTAAATTCGCCGCAGTTCAGTTCAATACGAATCGGATTTTAAAAAAACCTTCTTGGAATCATGATTGCATTATTGCAGAAATTTATGACTTTTGTTTGTTGTTTATATTGAGATGATGAAAAAGCGATTAGCAACACGTCTCTTTGAATGCCTAAGGTATTGATAACTAGGGTAAATTTCCGATGGAGATGAGTAAAATTCATAACTCATGAAATTAGTTGCCCATGAAACAAAATAAATAAATAAATAAATAATTGATTTACCCGGTTCAAAGATGTTGTCTTCATTTCTCTTATAGATTGTCGGTTTAGCAAGTTCCTCCGAAATAATACATAATAGCACCGTAATACGAATCCACTTGATCATTGTGCTAATATCTTTTTTCGGAAATCAACAACACAAAATAGAAACTGGCAGTGAGGTGGAGTTGACGCGTACGATCAACGACAATCTGTAAACTACGTTACTTACTCATGATCTACTGAATAATATACAGTGAAAACACGGAGTTGGCGCCATCACGGGGGAAAGTTACATGGCATTATTTTCCGCTGTTCTCAATATTCTTTGCGAACCGAATCCATAGAAGACAATAAGGAAAGTTTCCAGACCTGGAAAAAAACTCGATATATGCCTATTTTGTGAAAACTGTGTTGAAAGTTCAAATTCAACCGCTCAGTTATTTTCTGAAAAAGCATTCACAAACATATTTTTTCATCTATCGTGACACTGAATCTGGGTTGAGAAGTGAAAGGATTCAGTCGCTGGAACGTACCAAAACAAGTGTATAATTGCATTTAAAAAAATGAATATAGTCATTATTGGTAATAAATTAGCAATTTGCTTCCGAATGCTTCTTTATTTAAATTCTAATTTTACTATTTTCTTCTTCTATTTTTTCGTGTTATGGTAGTATTATCAATTTGTTACCTCCTGATGATACACATTTCTTCTTCTAACCTCGACCGATTCATCTTGTCAAAATGCCTCTCCTATCACAAAAATCTTCATTTTTGTTGCCGAATGGAAACGTTGTAATCGTCCGATTTTCGCATTCTCTAATTTTCATTGGAAATGATTTAGAATGGTTTAAAACGTAAAAATACGAAGTTTCACGACCATGTCTGTATGTGAATATGTCCACCGCCACCTTCCCGGTGGTCAATTTATAGAAAATTAAGTAATTGAGTTGTTAAAGTAATTCAAAAAAATTTCAAATTTTGTCAAATTATAGGTCTTAATGAGGACGAACTCTGTACGCAATTTCAGCGCGATGGGTCAAGTAGTTTTTGAGATGAAGCGATTCGTTTTAAATAGTTTTTTACGAATATCTTTAAAATTATTGAACTGATTTAGATTTTTTTTTCAAAATATTCGTCTTGATGTCCTCTATCTAGATCAATTAAAACATCTATACCTGCTCATACAAAGTGTTCGAAATATTCTCCTTTTTCTGTTTTTTCATTAAAATCTTTGTACGCGCGTTAATGTGTGCAAAAAATGAGATATCAACTTAAAATTTGGACAGAATCTTCCTTCTATGATAACAAAAGTTCGTATTGAAGACGGGCTCAATCGCACCAGTAGTTTCGCGGATATTCAACTTTTTCTGAAAATTTATTATGTTGAATATCTTTAAAACTTCGGAAACGGTTCCACTTATTTTTTTTTCAAAATATTCATCGCGATGTCCTCTACCTAGATCAATCAAAATATCTATACCTATTCATACAAAGTGTTCGAGATATTCCTTTTTTTCTGTTTTATCATGAAAATCCTTGTATTATGCAAAGTACTAGTACTCGGGCCTGTGACAGGCATATGCGTAGGCCTGTCACAGGCCCGAGTACTAGTCACAGGCACGAGCAACGGATCCATTTGGAAGCTTACTACCAATGGAATCAGTAGAAATGAAAAGAAGAAAAAGACTAATAACGCAAAAAGAAACGGTCGCATGCTTTCTGTCGAATAGACTCGAACCTCTGTTTGTTTCATTTTTTCATTATTCATCATGAGAATATGGATAAAAATGTGGCATAAAAGCGAGAGCAACAAAATCACTCAATTTTCTTATTTTTCCGTTTCACACCTACGAACGACTGAAAAACCAAAAAGTCAAGATCTGAATATTCTGACGAGATTTTGAGAAAAAAATCAGAGGACAGAAGCCTGATGTCGCCAGAGAGATAAACAAGTGCGCGATTGCTTTCAGTTGTGTCAATTATGGTGCCTGTTTTTGCTAATAAATTAGCAATATGCTTCCGAATGAATATTGGCCAAAATAAGGCCAAAAAACTCAGGCGTCGCTGAAAGATCAGGGGACGCTACCCATAGCAACCCCCTAGCAACCCCCTATCAACCCTCCTAGCAATCCCCCTGGCAAACCCCCTCATATGACCCTCATAAACCCCCATAAAACTCCCTTAAGGCCCCCATAAGATCCTCATATGATCCCCATAAACCCCATAAGACCCCCATATGGCCCCCATAAATCACTGTAAGTCCCCCATAAAACACTCATAAGACTCCCATAAGATCCCCATAAGACCCTCATACGAACTTCATAAACCCCCATAAGACTCCCATATGACACTTATAAATCTCCGTAAGACCCCCATAAGACGCTCATATGACCCCCATAAACCCCCGTAAGACTCCCATAAGACCCTTATAAGACTTCCATATGACTCCCATAAGACCCCCATAAGGGCCTACCTTGCACCAACCTTGCGTCAACTTTGCGCCAATATTGTGCCAACCTTGCGCCAACACCGGAGCAACCTTGGGCCTAATTTTTTAGAATAATTCAAAAACTAAAAGCGCAATCGACACCATCTTCGAACTCGGTCTGTATAACATGAAAACGAATAATTCTAGCCGATATTCGATTGATTCAGATAATTATTTTTGAAGTTATCGTAAAAAAACAGAATCGGTCACATACACACATATACACGCACATACATACAGACATACTGTAAAATACGACACCGTTTAAATAATAAATTCGTTTCTTAAATAAAATGGGGGAAAAGAATAATTAATAAAAGATACAAAGAGAAATGATGCGTCCGCGGACTAAGAGTTAAGATAAAAGAATGATGATAGACAAAGAGACGATCGTACATGAAGTTGGTTGAGGGAGAAAAAGGGTAAATACGCAACACTACTCCCTCTTTTCGCCCCGACAACAACGCGCCTGTTAAAGGCAGGAGAAGAAAACCATGAAAATGGTTGAGTTGCATCCAAAAGATCATCAATGAGAGGAAGTGGCATAACATTCTTTTTAGTCACTTTGTTCAAGAGTCGATAGTCGACACAAAAACGAAGAGAAGCATCCTTTTTCAACACCAAAACTATCGGGGAACACCATGAACCAAAACTTGGTTCAATAATACCTACCAGTTTCATCTCTTGTAGAGCTTCAAAAGCTTTGTCACGATAATGAAAAGGAATACGACGAGGACCCAATTTGACAGGATCGGAATTCCCGGTATTTATTTTGTGTTTAATCTCAGAATATTTTCCTAAATCTTTATTATTCTTAGCGAAACAATTTTGAAATTCAAAGATGAATTTTCTTATTAGACTAATCTGCTCCTCGTTCAGTAGTTTAATTGATGATTCGAATAATTCCACTAAATATTCGGGAATAATTATCTCAATGTCACCTTTGACATTAGTTTCATAAATTGAAACAATCTTGGTTTTGTCATGGAGATTGAATTTCCGGTTGATTACCGTTTGAAATTCATGTAAAAGTCCAGATGATAAAATAAAATCTAAACCGAGAAAGCAATCTAAATCGATATTCGCGAAAACGGCATCAATGATCACAATTACATTGCTATCAGAAATGGTCACTTTCTTAACGGCAACATAATGCAGTTGAGAGCCGCTGGCGATGAATACCGAATAAAGCTTACGAACCGATGGTAAAGAATCCAAATTGAATGAAAATAATCTAGGGTTAATGATTGTAATATCAGAGGCAGTATCAATAATCATGGAGCAAGAGTGGTCATTAATTTTTCCATGAATTATTAAATGTAAATTTGATTTTGGATCAGAGGAAATCGTGTGGTAACAGGATTTCGGAATAGGTGAAGTCAACTTGACCTCCTCCAAGCTGACTTCATCTAGTTTAACTGAGGAGAGTCCATTTTCAGTGAATTCTATTCCACCGGAGAAGCAGTAAACATTCTAGAGGGAACGGATGAGTCGGTTCCGCTACGATCTTGAGCAAAGAAGCAATTCGTACGGCCATTTCCGTGTTGATTCCCATTTTGGTTTCGTGAATTAGTTGTCGAGCGTTGATTTTGGTTGTTGAGATTTCCATAATTCACGTTTGGGTTAGATCTTTGGTGAAAACTACGATTTTGGTTTGAATAGTTTGAAGAGGAGTTTTGATTAAAGTTTTTATTCAAATTTGTATTTGAACTCGAATTCGAATAACGACCCTTACAGCATTCATTCGCGTAATGTCCGGGATTTTCGGAAATAGTACAAATGATTTTCCGGCGATTATTTGAATTAAATTGATTAGAATTATCACGTGATCTGTTAGAAGTATTGAGTGATTGATTATTCTGATTGGAATTGGGATGTTGATTCTGTTTTTTACTGATGATGTTGTGCACAGCGTGCATTTCCAATGCCCGTTGAAGAGCTAAATTCAAACTTTCAAAATGTTCTAGGCGTAGAGCACTCTCAAGCCGACCATTATTAAGCCCGTTGATAAATTGTTCGCACGCGATTTTATCTTTAATTATTTCGGGAGCGTCAAAATAAGCAAGACCTGTTAATTTTTGAACGTCTTCCGCGTAAGTTTTTAAATCCTCATTTTTTTGTTGAATCCGAGCGCGTAATTGTAAATGATATACGCGGTAGAACTGCTGCTCCCCGAATCGAGAATTGAGGACATCTTTTAATTTATCAATGTCCGTTAAGTCGGAAACCGGAAGTGTCTCAACAATTGATTGAGATTTACCGCGAAGGAAAGAAAGTAGATATGAGGCTGCAATTCTACCTGACCATCCATTCTCACAACCAATGACATCAAAAAGTCGCTCATATTGCGACCAGGGAGTTGTACCATCATAATCAGGTAGTTTAATCAAGTTCTGTTTCGGTGTGGAAGGAATGAAGTGAGGGTTTTGAAGAGGATTTGTGAATGTAGTGTGAAGTTGATTAGAGTTTTGATGGAATGTGTTTGAATGTTGTAAGAATGATGTATTAGGACGAGGTGAAGTCGACTTTTATCTGTTAAAACTTCCATGATTTCATTCCTCATGTTTTGAACCTCTCTCTTCACCGCGTTCTCGATGGCTTGGCTCACTGCAGATTGGAATTGATTCTGAAGCGTCGTTGACAGATGTGTCATCATGTCCGAAGAATTTTTGGTCAAATAATCCATTATTTCATGGTTATTCGCCTGAACGGAGTTGTCTAT